ACTGAATCACTTTTGTAACTGTAATAAGAATAAATCTACATTTAATTTACACAGTGAAAGCTATACAGTGTTTTTTTTTAAATATATATAACATACATAACATACAGGTGCATCTCAATAAATTAGAATGCCGTGGAAAAGTTCATTTATTTCAGTAATTCAACTCAAATTGTGAAACTTGTGTATTAAATAAATTCAGTGCACACAGACTGAAGTAGTTTAAGTCTTTGGTTCTTTTAATTGTGATGATTTTGGCTCACATTTAACAAAAACCCACCAATTCACTATCTCAACAAATTAGAATACTTCATAAGACCAATAAAAAAAACATTTTTAGTGAATTGTTGGCCTTCTGGAAAGTATGTTCATTTACTGTACATGTACTCAATACTTGGTAGGGGCTTTTATTTGCAGTTATCCCAATATAATTACATCAGCTTTTATAGGCGAAAGCTTAAATGAACCAATTTTATTTGATTTTAATTTAATCCATGGTTAATATTCATATGCCATAGTATATACATAGTTGTCCAAGGTACATCAAAGAACATCATAATAATACCATGGTACTTTTTATACATTTGTTGTAACTAAAGCTGTCAAATGCAGTATCTACATAGCAGACACTGAGTTTTGAAGTTTCTTTTGTTCTGAGCTGTTATGTCTGTTAAATTTGAGTCACTAATGTGCAGTTGGGTGAACTGTTGTTTGCCGTTTCCAGTTTTCAGATCTCTTTGGTCATTTGTCACAACTCTCACCTGAAATATCTTGCTGAATTCCCCTTATTTCAAAGCGCTCCTCAAGGGCTTAAACAAAACTGGATTCAAACTTTTTGCTTGTAAACGGTATAATGTAATTGATTCTTGAGCGTAAGGGAAGTTCACTGGCAGCCCCAACGGTACCCTGTTCGAGTAGTTTGTTGTCATAGCAACAGTAAAATTAGCTGGCCCTTTTCTGTCAGATGTAATGTTTTGTGGCAGCGCCACCATCGATACACAAAAAGCAAAACTGCTTATCAGGTGTATATATATATGTGTTGATATGTTCCTAGAAAACAACCTCACATTGTAACCCTTTAACGTGTCAGTCCGCTATGTTTACAAATGTTTTGTTTATATCCTGCTGAAAAAAAACAGCTAAAACCAGCTTAAGCTGGTTGGCTGGTCTTAGCTAGTTTAAAGGGTTAGTTCACCCAAAAATGAAAATTAGGCTGCGTTTTACTCACCCCCGAGGCATCCTAGGTGTATATGACTTTCTTCTTTCAGACGAATCCAGTCGGAGTTAAATAAAAAATTGTCTTTGATCTTTCAAGATCTATCATTGCAGTCAGCGGGGGTTGCATTGCTTCAGTCCAAAATAAGTTAAATAAAAAGCGCCCATGCATTAAAAAAAAGTGTCTCACACAGCTCCGGGGGGAGAACAAAGGCCTCATGTAGCGAGTCGATGGGTTTTTGTAAGAAAAATATCCATATTCAAAACGTAATAATCACTTTAATGTAGCGCCAAGCTGGTTTTAACTGGTTGGTCAGCTGGTCTCCCTGCCTGTCCAGCTAAGACCAGCCTGACCAGCTAAAGAAGTAGTCTAAACCTTTCCAAACCAGCCTGTAAACCAGCATTGACCAGGCTGGAAGACCAGCTAAAACCAGCCAATCATTTTAGGCTGGTTTCAGTAGGTTTGTTTTTCAGCAGGGATATATTTTTAGTTTAATATGCCATTAGAATATATTATATTCCTCAGTTCATATTGATCATAATGTAGGTTTTTACCCCATATATTGTGGTAATAAGAAAGTACCATTAACTTGTACCACCAAAATACTTTTTTTTTTATTGGTATTATTTTCTCATTACTGTACACATTCATAGACCAGGATCAAATAGTGGACTATAACAGTTTTCTACTCGATTTTAGTTTTTAAAAACCCACAGTTAATATGTAGTTGATTCCAGCTGGAAAACCCGCAAGTTTGTTTTCCTCGCCTGTGATGTGGATGTGATGCCGTCCACATTTGTTTAATCTGCCTTATAAACGCAGCCATGCCTCGACTGACCCCAGGGAATCTCTGCTCCAGATTGTGAGGCTGGATAATATTCTCGCTCTGTTGCCGTGGATACAGATGCTGGATTAGCCATGCAGAGCTAGCTGTCAGCTGTCAATCAGTGCAAGTGAAGAGAGTTGCTGCTTTGACATGTGAGCGCGAGTGTCAAAAGCAGCCCTGAGGCGTGACTGTGCATTTTCCAAGGAGTGCTCAGCTGCATATGCTGTTATTGACTGATTGAATCGCGTTATCAGGGGGGTGCTGCCCCTGGCACGTCGCTCGACATGCATGTATGGCATATGTATAAGTGTGTGTGGGTACATGTTGGCATGGGTGTCAGAGAGAGAGTTAAAAGTGATGGGTAATGCTGTAGGGAGAGATTAACTGGATTTCCTACTGTGACTTGGGCAGTGTGTGGGCAAAATTTGTATTTAGATTTTATGCATCTTCAGATAACGTCAGGATTACTTCCTCTAAAATCCAACATCCTGCTAACCTTACCACCAAGAAACTTCAAACACACACACACACACACACACACACACTGCTGCAAGAGAACGGTTCATCAGATTTTCCATTGTAAAAAAGGTTGCATCATTGTTATAACATCCTTTTTGTGTGGAAGCCTGAAAAGAAAGGTGATTGTGGCTTTACATCTCACAACTTCTCATAATTATGAGAAATTAAGTCACATTTTTTATGTCTTGTGATTGTGACTTTTATATCCCACAGATGTGACTTTATTTCCCATAACTTTGTTTCTCATAATTGCGACTTTATATTTCATAAGTGCAATTGTATTTCTCATAATGTGGGTTTAAGCTGCACAATTGCAGCTTTATTTCTTTTATCTCACAATTGTCCGTTTTATTTTTTACTCTGAAACAGAAAGTTGTTTCCATTTAACTAGTTGCATTTAATCTTTTGATTTTCCACGATTCTGGACTTGATTTTCTTCTTTAATAAAATCTGAACGATTGGATCAAGTTCACTTAAAGTTGTAACTTTGGCTTGTAATTCTAACCCAGCAATTATACTTTGGCAGAAACGTTGTATGGGAGTGATTTATTTATACATTTCTATTTAAACAATGTTGGTCACTGTATTCATAGAAATATACATAGCACCTTATTTATAATAACCTTTATAACACGTTATTTATAACCCTTAAACTTTATTATTGTTTACTCACCCTCATTTCATTCCGACCCCATATCATTTCAATCTTCTGTGGAACACAACAAAAGATCTTATGAAGAATGAATGAACATCAGTTTTCCATACAAGGAACAAATGCTCATTTGTACTGCCAAGGTTCTAAAAGAACAAAAAGTGCCTAAAGTATCAAAAAAAAAGTTTTCATCTCCTCTGGAGACCTAAAAATCTTATGTTTGTGCTCAATTAAAAACAATTGTTCATAAATGCTTCTAATTTGACTGGAGAGTTTTGCTGAAGTAGATTGTGTACTCTGTAAATTTTCTCCATTTACACTAATATACTATGAGTTTGGAATTTGACTAGATTAAGCTTGAATTAACTGCATTTTTAAAATGCATTTGTTGAGAGTGTCTCAACTCTGTCTTCTTTTTCCTGTTTGCTGATCTCACCTCTGAAATATGGAAGTGGATTCCCGTTCTCATGCTGATTTTTTAGTCTCATTTCTCTCTGGGAGTTCACAGAGTACACATTTGTTTCATGGGAGCAAATATCTACAAATATAAGAGATTAACTAAACATGCAGTGATTTTAGCCTTGCACATTTGTTGATCCTACAAAATACACAAACCAGACAGACTTTTACTAAGCGTATGTTTACTGAAGTACTGGAGTTTTACTTTTTATAAATCTGAAAAGTTTTTTAATTTTTATACACATATTGATATATATAATCGATATAAAACCTGGAGCCTTTTTGTGATTTGTAATTTAAATTATTATAATTATATTATTATTATTAACATTTTGAGTGAAAATATTATAGAGTGAAATCAAAGTTTTAGAGTGAAATATTACAATTATAATTTCATATTTAGTTTAATATTTTATTTAATAATAATTATTATTAAATCAATTATTATAATTCTATTTTTCTTAAATACCTCATTTTAAAATACTTGTATTTTAGTTTACAGTGAAATACTACAATTGTAATTACTTTTGTACTTTTGTACAATTGTAATTACAGTTGTAAAGATTTTTTGGTTACACTTAATTTTAAGGTTTCCTTTGTAATTATAGATATAAGTACCGAGTAATATTAATTAACTACATGTATTTGCTATATGGTTAGGGTTAGGATTTGGGTTTGACTTGGGGTTACTTGCATGTAATTATGCATAATTGTTATTATAATAGTAAGTACATGTAACATCTGTAAACGGACACCTTAAAATAAAGTGTTACCGAATTTTTAAACTATTTTTAACATCATTATTGATATATAATATTGATATATAATCCATATGAAACCTGGGGGCCTTTTTAAATGCGGTTTTAATTATTTTAAATAATTTCAGTTATTATAATTATATAATTTTTCTTAAATATCTCTTTATTTTATAGTGAAATTATAAATTATTTATTTAATAAACTTAATAATAATACGAATATCATTAGTATTATTGTAGTCATATTGCAATATAATAGTAATAGTAATAATAATTATTATGATTATTATTATTATTATTTATTGTAGTCATATTGAAATATAATCCCCAAAAATTGGCCAAATTGTGCAGCCCTACAAACAAGCACAAACATAAGACAAACAAACCTGGAAGTTTTTTAATGCCGTTTTAAATCTCAGTTTTTTATCACAAAAATCGCAGTTGTGTGTTAACTGCTTGTCCACAGATGCAAACAGATTCAACTTATATAAGAGCTCCAGTTAAGCCTTTTCTATTTTTTTTCCCCATAAAAACTAGTAACCAATTTACAGAGTGTTGTCTTGTGTCTGTGCAGGAGCCGAGGGCTGCATGGGTCCAGTGGTCATGCCCCCAGGGAAGAAGGCCGAGGGCCCCAGCAGTGGGAGTGTTGCGCGGGGTCTGAGTCAGCTCTACCAGGACACTGAGGCAGCTGACCTCTCTCTGGCCCTGTCTGCCTCCCTCAGCCGGGCCGAGGACGAGGAGCTGACCAGCCTCAGCTGGTTGCACGAGAGCACGGATCTTCTGACCAGCCTGGGTCACTCGGGCCTGCGTAGCGTTAGCCCCCTACAGGATGCTAACGGTGGCCGCGAGCCCTCCTCCTCGCCGTCGTCCTCCCCTGAGCCCAGCGAGCCACCCTACCACCTGTCCACGGGTCCCAGCCGCAAACCGCCCTATTCCTTCAGCTGCCTCATCTTCATGGCAATAGAGGACGCTCCCTCCAAGCGACTTCCTGTCAAAGACATCTACGGCTGGATACTGGAGCACTTCCCCTACTTCGCTAGTGCCCCCACTGGCTGGAAGAATTCAGTGCGTCATAATCTGTCGCTAAACAAATGCTTCAAAAAGGTGGATAAGGATCGCAGTCAGGTGAGGGCTTGTGTTTCTCTGAACACTGAACACACACTTTCATCTTCCCGAGGGATTTTCCATCAATAGTTTATCGTCCTGGTGGCTTTTAAATACTTTTTACCCAGATGTGTTCACATGTTCTTGAATGCTTTTGCTTTTCAGTTGCAGTCTAGGAGTTCTTGCAGTCTATTGGGCTCATAATGAAGAAAAATCTTTTAAAACACATTTGACAACTTAGAAATGTACTATTCGTACTCGCACTGGCTTTGTATGGGTTTGACAATCTTTTATACCAATTTCAGAAAATGCTTCAATTTAATTTTGAAGATGTCAAGTTGTACGATGTTAATAACGCTTTCTATGCACATTGAATACATAATCTAAATTAATTCCAAGAAAGTTTTTAAATATATTTTTCAAGTTTATTTTCAAATGTATGAATAATAACAAATTAATGACTTATTAATTTATAATTATCATTACCACAGAACATTTTTACAACCTGAACTAAACTGGTCATAAAAGGTATATGTGATATGATATTTCAAGAGATATATTGACTTTGATGGACAGTCGTGAGGGTCTGCAGTGGTTCTTTCTATGATATGATCATATCCGGATTCATGTTTTTTTTCTGCATGTTGAACCAGATGAATTTTGTAGGTCGCATCACATGCATTTTGCAGACAAAGGTTTTTCAAATATTAATAGCAGTAAAGCAGTTTTGTTCAAATATTTTTTTCTCTAGGCGGTAATAATAAGAGATTATGCCAAACTACTTAATAATTGTTTTCTATTACATTTTTACATTTTTTACATTATGTCCCCCACAAAAAAATTACATAAAATGCACATGACCCTCCAAAAACAGGCTTATGGAAACTCATTCTTCATCCAGGATTTTTTGAGCCAATCACGTGAGCCGTAAAAAGCCATGTGGCTAAACACTCCGAAGCTGCAAAATTGTGTCGTGAGAACACTGTTTTGCTGAAAGCACAAAAATAATGCACACATTCCCAAACTCTTGAAGTGGCGACGGTCTATTACATACTTTTAAAGAGCTTGGCAAAAATATCTGCTATCATGTAATAAATCATTTGCTGTTTTCTATTTTGTAACAATGCGTGGCAAATTTTGAATCAACGTAGATGGAGATGCTTTCCAGGTCCAGATGTTGTTGTTGCAGGAGGGACTAACTTGAATTTTCTAACCAGACAAACCTTGACCCCTTGTTTTGTGCAGGTTTACTTCTCGCTAGCAGTAATCTGGGGCAACCTAAATACTGAAATGTGAGGTGTCATATGTAAATGAGGTTGTGTCAATGGAACCATGAAGATTTCCAAATAAGCAAGTATTGCAGCTTAGTTTCCAAAAATGGTCTGAGTGGAAAATCCAGTTTTCCATGATATGACCCCTTTAACATTCATGAAAATGTGTGTATACTTTATAAGACACGAGTAGAAACCTTCTCTTTTAAACATAGGCAATCATGTGTTCTGGCTCTCTCAGTGTAGAGTCTGTGGCAGAAATCTGCTTTCCTCATTTACGACGGTTGGGAAAGATTAGCACATAGGTCTGGGCTGGGTTTAAAACGCCATCATTGTCTCCATGTAGACTGAGATACTTGTGCCAAACCCTCCTACCAGACAACCAACCGTCCCTCTCTTCTACTTGTTGCCTTGGAGACCAGCGAAACCACAGGTGCATGTCTGCTCCTCCTCTGGCTCCTGTAGAGAAGGGTCATGCGGTTCTGGCAGGGGGGTGAGCTGGAGCCGTACCCGGATGCCGTGCCGGAGCTGGTGAATGATGTACATCAGTCTGTGATGTTGTTTTGCAGGCGTGTTGATAGCTAATTGAGGGCAGATGGAAGACTATTGGGGGGAAGTTATGAATGAAGTCATGGGGAGTGTATTTGAATTACCCTGCACCCCGGGTGGAAACGGCACATTGGGCCAATGGCTCCTTCAGCAGTATGAAACACACACACAGAAATATGAACACGAACACACACAGAAATTTGAAATAAAGTTGCTTCCCCCCAACCATTTGGCAATTGCTGGTTTGTCGGCCCGTCTAATCAAACCTTTCCCTTAATTGCCTTGTCTGGTGTGTCAGTAAACACTGTTGATCATTGCTATAGTGACTGTTCTGTAACTACGATAATATCAGAGTGCTTTCACCATCCCGTCTCACTTATTTTTGTGCTTAATACAAGAGCCAAGATCAAAGCCGCACGGGTTGAATTTCATGCCTTGTGTGAGTTGTGTTTTTTGGTAAAATGAAATGTGGCTCTGGAAGCCCCTGATGGAGGGCAGACAGCTTAATTAGGTGGAGAACGGCTTCTTTGATCTAAAAATATATGTCAGTGTTGCCTGTTGAGGCAGTTTTAAAGGTGACTCTGTGTTCACTTGACAACAAGGGTCTCGAGTGCTAGGTCTAATCCTCCACCACGCTTTTCGGTTTCCTCAATACTTTGCAAATATGTAATCTTAGATAATGTATGATTTATTTCAAAATATATACATGCCATTACTTTGAAGGTTCTTGAGAACATCAGGCTAATCTGAGTTCTATTTTAAATCTGCGTTTAGAGTAGGGCTCTTTAACACCTGTGCTGGAGGGCCAGTGTCCTGCAGACTTTAGTCCAGTTTAGCGCACCATGCAAGTAATTCCGAACACCTTAATTAGCTTGTTGGGTTTAGAGCTAAATTCAAGAGGACACTGACCCCACCGGACTGCATTTGAAAAACCCTGATTTAGAGGTATGATTCTTTCTAGGGCTGCATGAGGTCCCGTTTTCCTATCCTGGACGAGCCCCAATTTTGTGTGTCTCTCTTATTAAACACACCTGTTTCAGATAGGAAAGAGCTTCGTGAACTGAACTGAAGCGAGTGTGTCAGAAAAGAGAGACATGCTAAATGTGCAGTGCTGTGGGACCCCAGGTCCTGGATTAAGTGAAAGGGAAAGTGTAGCCAACTATGGTGTCTCATGCTCGGAATTTGCGCTCTGCATTTAACCCATCCTAGTGCACACACACACACAGCAGTGAGTAGTGAACAAACACACACACACACACACACACCATGAACACACACCTGGAGCAGTGGGGAGTAGTTGGGGGTTCGGTACTTTGCTCAAGGGTTTGGAGTACATTCACTCTGCCCACCTACAATCCCTCAAACCTGTGACCTTTGGGTTTGGGTTACAACTCTCTAATCATTAGGCCACGACTGCCCCCAACACAGAGCGAGCCAGCCAGGAGGGCTATTATATGTCCGGTTAACATAGAAATGGTTGCCAATTCTGATCGTGAAGGGATACCTTTCTGCAGACTTAATGTCCAACCTGTTACCTGTTGTTTTCAGGTGACCCTGAGCCCCTTGATTAGCTGGTCCAGGTGTGTTTGATTAGGGTTGGAGCAGCACCGCAACAGCATGGTAGCCCTCGAGGAGCAGGGGTTGGATACCCATGGTTTAGAGCAGTGGTTTTCAACAACCGTTCTTGGATCCCTAACACTGCACATTTTACATTTCTCCTTAATCAAACACACCTGATTCAGCACATCAGCTCATTAGTAGTGGCTGCAAGACCTGAAATTGGTGTGTCAGACAAAGGAGAGGTATTCAATGTGCTGTGTTTGGGGGGTTCAAGGAACATGGTTGGGATCCTGGAAGGCCAGTGTCCTGTAGAATGTAGCTCCAGCCAGCTCCAAAACACCTGCCTAGAAGTTTCTAATAATCCTGAAGGTCTTGGTTTAGGTGTGTTTGATTAGGGTTGTAGCTAAACTCTGCTGGACAGTGGCCCTCCAGGAACTGAATTTGACACCCCTGGTTTAGAGGTATGATTCTTTCTTGGGCTCTGTGAGGTTCCTATCCCGGATGAGTCTCCGATTTATTGAATTCTTACAATAGGGCTTGGCAACTCTGACCCTTGAGGTCCACTTCACCCTAGGGGGTGGTCCTTCGCTCCAATCCAGATCAAACTCACCTGCCTAATAGCTTTCTAGTAATCCTGAAGACTTTGATTGGCTTGCTTATGTGTGTTTGATTAGGGTTGGAACTAAACTCAGCTGGAAAGTGGATCTGGAGGGTCAGAGTTGCCCACATTTGCTGCACAGTATCTCGCAATATTATTAATCTTATTAAAGATGCTGAAAGATTGAAGATGTAACATGACAGTAATTTGTCTTTTTTGTATTTTAGAGTATAGGAAAGGGTTCACTCTGGTCTATTGATCCTGACTACAGACACAATCTGATTCAGGCACTAAAGAAGACTCCATATCATCCGTATTCCCCTCGGCTTCCAAAACCTTCTACCTCCCCATCTGCCTCTCCTCAGCAATACCACAGGTAATGCCTGAATTTCTCACTCAGTTTTTTTTTTGGGCCGTCCATTTCTTGTTCTTTTTCCTCTCTTTTCTTTTCTTCTGCACCTAGCAGTTATTGCTTTTTTCCTCTTCATCGGGTTGTTTTCTTCTGGTACTTTGATTCACACTTTCCATTTTGTGTGGCCCTGAAAATCATAGTCCAGACTTTTCCATTTCTAAAGAAAGAGCATGAGCACAAAACCCTGCCTTAGTGTGGAATAACAAAATGTGACTGAGAGGACGTTAACTACCTTGGTATGAATAATTTTGCCAGTAAAAGAGTCTCGGATTAAGCAAAACTTCTCTTTGCCTTTAAGAAAGAGAAAGATAGGAAGACCGAAGGGAGCAAAGATCATATACAAGCCTTTCTTTGGTGGCCTTTCTTATGACCTTCCTGTGAAGAAGAACACATTGATCTGGTGTGTTAAGGTTTTGGGTCAGTACCTCACTCATTCCTGAACACTCTTGTCAGCAACTGGACATGGTCCTCTAGGGAATCTGTGGGATGTAAAGAAACAGCACACGCTTGCCCTTCCTGTGTCGTTTCTTCTCCTCTGCTGTTGCTGTGACGACCAGAGTACCTCCATGGCAACACATGCATTAGACAGGTGGAACAGTAGCACAAAAATATTTGTCTGGCAAAAGAAGAAAAAAACAGAGATAGGACAGACAGACAAAGCAAAATTGTTAGTTTATCTAAAGTAATTTTTGCCTATTAGTACGGTTGAACTGGATCATCAAAGGTCAGCAGCAAAGACATTGGTTAATAAAATGGGATTAGATACATTTGTGTTATTTAACATTTAATTATTGCAGGTTTGCGTCATATTCTGAGTTTGCATTTCACAGTTTTAATTCATTTTGATGAATACTAAATCTGTTTTTGCACACAATCCGATTTCTCCCAATATGGGGACAGGAGAGTTGTCAGTCAATAAATGGGAAAACAAAGTAACTGGCATTACTTTGAAAAAGTAACTCAGATATTTTCTTTAAAAAAAGTAATGCGTTACTTTACTAGTTACTTGAAAAAAGTGATCTGATTACGTAACTCGCGTTACTTGTAATGCGTTACCCCCAACACTGATCATGACAGTAAAATAGGGCATTCTAAGTCAATATACTGCAGTATTTCCTCTCAATCAGTAGAAAATATGGTTAACACTCGGTCATGCATGAAAAAAAAAATACCGTCATGTACTGTGAAACTGGTATCATTTTGAAAAATACCGTGATATACATTTTTGGTCATACTGCCCAGCACTAATATATGTATATATATTATACATATATATTATATTAAATATATATATATATATATATATATATATATATAAAATTAAACCCACGCGTGGATTATTCAAAAATAAGATCTATAACATGCATTAAGAAAATAGATTGGGTGAATTTCCATTTTATACTGACTTTAATGTGTGCTTTAATGAGTGGCAATACTTTAAAAAAATTATTCATTTTTTATTACTGTATGGTTGTTGTAATTGATATCTGATACCTATTTCTTTAATCTATCCACTGGCATACTAATGCATTTATTATGCAATTAGAACCGCTCACACTCAACACAAAAATTTTACCTCTAGTCTAATTTGCACTTATTATTAATTTGCTGATCTATGCGTATCAGACCTACAAAATCCCAGGATCGACAGTGGGATTAATGAGATAAGATAAATGTGATGTCAGTCTGCCTGTCTGTGAACCCCAACACCCTCAACTGTTCCTATCACTTGAAAAAGTGTGAGTTTGAGGATCTGATTTCAGGACTAAAGGACTGAGTCAATCTAAATTAAAGGATAATATCGACTTATTGAAAGTACAAGCCATTTGGATCCATTGCTTTGTGCTGTCTATAACGAGTAATCATGGTAAATAATGGGATTTCCAAGCCTCGCCTGAAAGTCTGTAACAGTTCAATTAGATTCTTGCTCTACCTCTCAGTCTCCAGTTTGCATTCCACACCATCATATCTCATATATACTTAGAGTTTCCTCCCCTGCTTTTATCTGACTTTGAATAGGATTTCAGAAGTCGATGATACAAAAGTGTTTTTCATTATGTGATTTTATCACTCAATGCTTTTCACAGTATCTGGATTTTCACTCTAACATTCTCGCTCTGTGTATATGTTCTTCAGTCCTCCGCTATGGCCAGGAAGTCCACTCTTCAGAAAAAATGGTGGAGTGCTCTTACAAGGTAAAAGCCCTATGTTTTTTTGTCATTTCTTCTATTCTGTTTCTTAAAGACTCCATTATATCAAAAGTTTTGTGGGTTTTAGTCCATTTATTGGCTTTGAAACCATCTATATGCTAGTGTATTCCCCTAATATTTTTTACATACGTTTTCTATTTTAAAATGCAATTTATTCATGTAATTTTAAAGCTGAATTTTGAGCACATTACTCAGTGTTCAGTGTCACATGATCCTTCAGAAATCATTCTAATATGATGATTTGCTGCTCAAGAAACATTTCTTATTATCAGTTTGGAAAACATTTGTGCTGCTTATTTTTGTGGAAACCATGATTTTTTCAGGATTCTTTAATGAATAGAAAGTTCAAAAGAACAACATTTCTTTGAAATAGACATTTAAAAAAAATATATGTAAATGTCTTTGCTGTCATTTTTGATCGATTTATGCATCCTTGCTGAGTAAATGTTAATTTATTTCCTTAAATAAATAAATAAAAATACTATCTATAATACAGGAAAACAGAACAAAAATATTGATGACTCATCCTGTACTACACAGATTTGTGTCCAATAAAATGCTCTTTAGAATAAAATAACCCACCTCCTAATACCACCTGCCACCGTCCAGCAAATAGCAAATCATGTTTGTGGCTGTGACGTAACCTTTTAGCTTATTAGCCTATTACCCATGTAAAAGTATTTTTAAAAAAGGTTATGAGTCCTCTGATATGTCCCACCCAAACTTCCAGTTTTAATAGGAAATATATCAAAACAGGAAAGAAAACTGTGCCTGTCAAGTGATTTCATGTGCTTTTTAAAAGCACCTTGCAAGAGATCCTTGATTTTGATTTATTAAAAAAACCCTCTTTATCACATAAATAGCTACATTGCGCCTACGGATTACCTTTGCAATATCTTGGGAATCACTGATTCTCTCATTTCCCACAACTGCTCCTTCATCGCTCTCTTTCAGTCCATCTGTTTGTCTCTCTCTCTCTTTCACTCCCTGTTGGAGTCCCAGCCGTTTAAATGTCCATTCGATTCCAATCAGGGTGCTCTCTTTCCACTCCACCGTGAGCAGCTAAATGGAAGGAAATGGATACATTATCTGTCTGTAGTGGCTCCTCTCTCCTTCTCGTCTGCTCTTGATAATGGAATAATGGAGGCAGAGCTGCCTGTGAAAAGTGTCTGAGCAGGGCTATTGGCGTTTGAGTGATGTGAATGTCTTGATGGCCATCTACAAGCAAAGGGTTCAGTGTGTGTGTATGTGTGTCAAGTGCTCGACTGGACAGTCTTAGCTCAAGGCCACTTCACTTAAGCTTGCTACTAGCCAGTGTCGTAGTGCTTACAGTTTGTGAGTGGCTGGACAACTGTGAAGGTTGTCTAGTGTCCTTTTGCCGTGTCTCTTAAAGCGATAGTTCACGCAAAAATTTGCTCACACTCAGGAGATTAACTGGAGAATCACGTTAATATTTATGGTGGAATGGTTTAGAATGTGTCCATCCCACTTTTCAGTCCTGCTCACCTTCATGTTGCTCCAGACCCAAATGGCTTTCTTCCGATGAGATGTTTAGCAAGAAGGTTCACGCTGCTCTTTTCCATGCAGAAAGGGGCTGCCAGGTGCCAAAAAAGCCATAAATGTAATTCTGAACCATAGCTTTGTTTTAGGAAAGTGGCTCTCAACCACACTCTTCACTAAGTTGAACTCTTTACGTTCTTTAGATTATTAAGATGTTCTTCACACTAAGAATAAAAATTATTTAAGAACTTTTCAGTGAAAGGGTCTTTCGAGGAACCAAAAATGGTTCTTCTACAGCATCATGAAAAAATAAAATCTTTTGGAACCTTTATTTTTAGGAGTGCAGGGAGCCGCGATCCATAAGGGGCCCTTAGCACAATTCCGAGGCAGCCACAAGATGGAAAAATTACTTGGAATAAGCTAAAAGCTAATTTTTAGCTACAAATCTTATGACATTGTATTTCCTCATTTAGCCATGTTTCCGTGGAGTTTTGGAAAAATTAGAGAATTTTCAAAGAGTGATTTCGAGAACTCAGAAAATCATGGAAATTAAGTAGTCATGAACATTTTATGATGAATATGTTTTTTTCTAGTTTTGTCAAGCTCTAAAATATGTTATTAGGCAGAAATTGCTGAGAAATTGCATTCTCATATGTAATTAACACGACTTGTCGTCTCTTATTCTCCTTTAAAGGGATAGTTCACCCCAAAATGACAGTAAAATAGGGCATTCTAAGTCAATATACTGCAGAAAATTCTGTCATTAATTACTCACCCTCATGTTGTTCCAAACTCCTAAGATCTTCGTTCATCTTTGAAAGACAAATTAAGATATTTTTGATGAAATCCAAGAGCTTTCTGACCCTGCGTAGACAGAAGGGGAACTACCACGTTCAAGGCCCAGAAAATTAGTAAGGACATCGTTAAAATAGTCCATGTCACATCAGTGGTCAACCGTAATTTTATGAAGCTACGAGAATACTTTTTGTGCACAAAGAAAACAAAAATAACTTTATTCAACAGTTTCTTCTCCTCCATGTCAGTCTTCGACGTGTCTTCACGATGGTAGCTCGACGCATGTGTGCATTCCTCTGCTTGTAAACAAGACGCAGCGCATGCAGGTTCCACATCAGAACGGCGACTCCTGCGTCAGCAGCATCACACGCTGTGGTACTCGACGCATGTGTGCATTCCTCTGCTTGTAAACAAGGCGCAGCGCATGCAGGTTCCACGTCAGAACGGCGACTCCTGCATCAGCATCATCACACGCTGTGGTACTCGACGCATGTGTGCATTCCTCTGCTTGTAAACAAGGCGCAGCGCATGCAGGTTCCACGTCAGAACGGCGACTCCTGCATCAGCATCATCACACGCTGTGGTACTCGACGCATGTGTGCATTCCTCTGCTTGTAAACAAGGCGCAGCACATGCAGGTTCCATGTCAGTACGGCGGCTCCTGCGTCAGCAGCATCACACGCTGTGGTACTCGACGCATGTGTGCATTCCTCTGCTTGTAAACAAGGCGCAGCGCATGCAGGTTCCACGTCAGAACGGCGACTCCTGCGTCAGCAGCATCACACGCTGTTGTACTCTCGTGAACGCTCGGCGAACTACCCCTTTAAGCATTTCTTTAAGAGATGTTTTCCTATACATTATCTTAGGAGATTTAATGTAGATATTGTATGAGCAAAACAAATGCTCATAGAGGAGCATAAACTGCCTGTTCTGCAGTCGAATAGAAGCAGTGGAATCCATTCCAGTATTTTCTTTGTGTATTTTATGCTATGAATTGTAATTGGGGGTTTGTTTTTCACAGTTCCACAGAGAGTGATACAGCATAGTTCACGTGTTGCTGCTCAGGGGCTCTTTCCAGTTATCAGACCCCTTCCTTTGAGTCCTGTGAGCAAGAGGACCACAGTCGTGAGGTTAGTATGCCCTTCTCCATCAGTGTTGGTATTGTTACCTCAACTATTGAAATCATTTTTGGTAATTGAAATAAAGCTGAAATAAAATAGAATATAAATATTAGATAAAAAAAATTAAATATTAAAAATTCAATGAAATTAGGAAATGGCAACTAACTGAAGTGAACAGATTTATGCTGAAGTAAAAAAAAAAAAAAACACACAAATACAAATTAAAAGATAGAGATTTAAAAAAATAATAAAAATGCCAAAGCACTTGAAACTGAAACTTAAACGTAAAAGTAAAACGAATATATAAAAATAACAGCTAATTCAAAATGTTAATAAATACTACAATAGTGTATAACTAGTACTTAAATAACACTGGTCACAAACTCCTTTAATTCATATAAATGGAGCTGACAGAGAAAAAAATATTAACTGAAATGCAAGCTATTAAATGCAAGACTCCTTTTTCTACTTGTTTATGATTAAAAGCCAAAATCCAAAGCTGTTGTAAAATAGTTAATGTATACATAGCATTTTGTCTTGTTTTATGCCATTAAAATATAGATTTTTATTCTTTTTTTAAACCTCAACCTTGCAAATTGTTGTTAGATTTGTGCTCAAAACATGAAAAACTATTTAATGATGTAAAATTAAGAGATAAATAGAAAATATTATATTTTCCAGTATTGGCTAATTTTGCATGTTCTTTTTCCATATGTTTACATTTAGAGTACATTTGCCGTGATCTAACGCTCACTTAAAATTAATCTTTAAAAACACTAATAATTGAATAACCGTGTTAAATATAATCTTTGATTACTGTATGTTATTCATATATAGCATTTTAAATGATTGATTTTAGTTTCTAGTATTTAGTTTTTAATTAATTTTGAATTTTAATATCAGCCATTTATTGGTTATCGGCCATGACATAACACTCTGTGTATACCTTCAATACACTACAAGTCATATTGGATAATAGCGTCTATGTAACTGTAATATTTTCAATAATGATTTGCATCTGTCGGTCTGTCTTAACAGATCAGCCCTGGGCGATTATCTGACACGGGGTAAAAACAGTCTGTGCAGTGACTCTCCTCCACCCAGCGATGATCAGCAGGAGGACCACACATACAGCAGCTCGCAGTCCCTAAATACAAAGGGGGACATTTCTTCCTCCCTCTCCTCCTGCTCCACTCAGGGTTCCCTCTCTGCCTACAGCCCCGGTCAGGAGGTGACGCTCACTGAGGTCAAGGAGGAGCAAAAAGACTTTCCGCTGGACGCCACACCACCTCCTTCCCAGCTGCTCCAGTGCAGAAGACTGCTGTGGACCAAAGGTCACCCTCGGACCCCCGGCGACACGCTTCCCCTGAAGAAGAGACGGGCGGAAAAGCTCCTGGTCAAAGAGGAGGAAGACGAGGAGATGGAGGCGGCGGGGTCGTTGCTTCACCTGGCTGGCATGCGCACCGGTGTGAATAAAAACGCTCAGCGTACGTGTAAAAAGGAGGTGAAAGAGGAAGCCAATGATTAGCAATGAACGAAAATCCCGTTAACACAGATCTAAATACTTCTGTTCCAGGATATCAGGTGAATTCTAGTCAGTTGTTGCAATATCAATAAAATCACTGTTGTCCCTTGTTAAATTTGATTTCCCGGGTGAAAGATTCTCATGTTCATGTTGTTTTGTGTGTGTGTGTGTGTGTGTGTGTGTGTGTGTGTGTGTGTGTGTGTGTGTGTGTGTGTGTGTGTGTGTGTGTGTGAAGAGGGAAAAAAGCCATAGTAAAATTTGGGTCATTTGAGTGAAAAATGTATTAATGTTTCTTTCTTTGAATTCATCAAGCCTACCGAACAATTTAAAAGAATTATGTTGTAGCAATCCTTCTAGTTCACATCAGAAAGCTGAACGGAGAGATTTTATATGCTGCTCTCAAGTGTGCCAAAGATATGATACCTGTTGATGAAAGTGCAGCTAATCCATGCACACTTAGTAAGACCAATAATAGTTTCAAAAATAGTGATACCAACCTATATTACAAAAAACATCAGATGAATATCTGGGTCAGTGACATGATGCTCAGTTGTCTTGGTCTGGTTTTAAAGGGGTCATCGGATGCTATATGCACTTTTACAAGTTGTTTGAACTGAAATGTGTGTTGGCAGTGCATGTACACAACCACACTATAATGATAAAAATCCACCCAGTGGGTTTTTTTTTTAATCTACTAAAATATCTACCCCTTTCTTAAATTGAGCCGATCTCAGATGCCTGTCTGTGTGACGTCACAAAAACAAGCCCCTCCCACGATAGTTTGATTGACAGTAGCGTTTCAGCACAGACTGAACTGGTGTCTCACCTTAGACCCGCCCTGAGTGAGCTGTCATCAGTCTGCCATTGTTTCACCACCGGAGCAGATGTTGACAAGAATGGCTCCTAAGCGATCGAGGTCTTCTGTTGTTGGATGTAATAATGAACATAGAAGTCGTCATTTACTCCCGACATCTGAGGCGCTGAAAACGCAGTGGATTACGTTTGTTTTTGAAGGGAATGCGTCCCCGATCTACTTAAATGCGTCTATGTTCGCACAAATCATTCATGATCCAGCCTCATCTACAGAAGAAGTGAGTGTAAGGTTTTTTTAATGAATCTTTGCAAATCGCCTTTCCTAATAACGTGCTAGTTAGCAAGTTTCACGATGAATGAGGCTAAAGTAAACAGTCCCTCAGAGAGCGGCTCGGAAGAGAGGGGCGGGGACAGCAGAGCTCATTAACATTTAAAGGAAAATGCAACCAAACGGCTCGCTCTGAAAAGAGGTTGACAGGGTAAAAATTGTTTTTTTTTACACTACCATTGATCAATTTTAACCTAACTAGGTTACAGACTTTTCATTAAGACCCTAAAGAATCATATCAACTTGTGGAAAATAAGCATCCGATGACCCCTTTAATGATTTATTCAAAAATAAATAAAAAATGCAATTCATATATACAGGTGCATCTCAATAAATTAGAATGTCGTGGAAAAGTTCATTTATTTCAATAATTCAACTCAAATTGTGAAACTCGTGTATTAAATAAATTCAATGCACACAGACTGAAGTAGTTTAAGTCTTTGGTTCTTTTAATTGTGATGATTTTGGCTCACATTTAACAAAAACCCACCAATTCACTATCTCAACAAATTAGAATATGGTGACATGCCAATCAGCTAATCAACTCAAAACACCTGCAAAGGTTTCCTGAGCCTTCAAAATGGTCTCTCAGTTTGGTTCACTAGGCTACACAATCATGGGGAAGACTGCTGATCTGAAAGTTGTCCAGAAAACAATCATTGACACTCTTCACAAGGAGGGTAAGCCACAAATATCCATTGCCAAAGAAGCTGGCTGTTCACAGAGTGCTGTATCCAAGCATGTTAACAGAAAGTTGAGTAGAAGGAAAAAGTGTGGAAGAAAAAGACGCACAACCAACCGAGAGAACCGCAGCCTTATGAGGATTGTCAAGCAAAATCGATTCAAGAATTTGAGTGAACTTCACAAGGAATGGACTGAGGCTGGGGTCAAGGCATCAAGAGCCACCACACACAGACGTCCAAAGTCCTCTTTTCAGATGAGAGCAAGTTTTGTATTTCATTTGGAAACCAAGGCCCTAGAGTCTGGAGGAAGGGTGGAGAAGATCATAGCCCACGAGTTTCACAATTTGAGTTGAATTACTGAAATAAATGAACTTTTCCACGACATTCTAATTTATTGAGATGCACCTGTACAATAACTTGAATACACCTCTTCTAGAATGGGCATGTTTTTAATTTCTGAATTAATTTAGATTTTGGGACATAAAGTTGAAAATGTCATTGTGATACAACTGTCCTCATTACAAGTAGTATGGCATTACCTTTTTTTATTTCTTTTAAAAAGTAATAACTTTACGTTATTTTATATAATATTTTAACAAAACTGCTAAATCAAATTGCCAATAAATAAATAAATAACATTTCAAAAAAATTCTATCATTGGGACAATCCCTGTAGACCTTTATGTGTGTCAGTAAGTCTCTTAAAATATCAGATAATTTGACAATTATATGACAAATTTATCATTAGGAACACTTTTTAACTTGAAAAATGTATTTCATTTTTATGATTAAGATGTGTACACTCATGTACACATGTATTTAAGGTGTAAAGAAAATATATTCTTTTTTATTAAGTATTGGTTACACCACATGACCTTTTTAGAGTCATTAAATTGACTTTTCTTGAAAATGGTGTAAACAAATACAAAAAGTACTTTTACACGTTTTATTATGTCATTGACCCATTTATTAAGCAGCAAATGTTTTGTTTAAAATAGCCTGTGTCCAGTGCATAACAAATGTAAAGGTCGAATGCAATATGCCATTTATCTCTTAGATGCCTGGTGTTTAAAACATTTCTGGTGTTAGTTCTTATTTGAAGCACACTAAAACTAATCTTTTATGAAGTAATGTGTCACAAATGCCTATTGTGTTGCCAAAATGTTGGTGTTTTTTAAAATTCATTTGTATTATTATTTTAAATCTTCACAATCCAAGCAATTTGTCCTGTTAGGATAACACTGTAAAAAGTTATTCCCTTTTTTCCACAAAAGGCAGTTTTTGCCTGTTTTTCAGTTATATTGCATGGGTGCTTGTACATAAGAAAGAAGTATTTCCTTTTCTAAATGAAAGATCATGTAAGATATTTAGCATGAGGCATGGCTTATTTTCTTACGAGAGAACAGAGAGAGGCGTCTCTTAAAGCGTAGGTTTCTTTCTTTACTCTTTTTTTAATTTTTATTTTTTATTGTATCTCTCTTCTGCGGCAGACAACTCTTCCGAAGGAAGAGACTTCACGAAAACCCATTAATAAACAGATCTGCCTTGTATTGAATATCAGGTGAAACTGACTTTTTTGTGGTCCTCGGTTCGGTTTCGTGGTCCTTTTTCCAATTCATTGATGTAAGTGTTCAAATGTTGTTAATAATAAGTGTTGGATGACCTATCAATCTGTACACCCTTTAAGGTTGTGCCTGCCTTTAGTTCGTGTGCTTGGATGTCTGTTCTGTTCTTTTGTAATGGTTCGATACTCCGTCATTTTCATTGTGCAATCTGCAGCATTGATATCATAAATTGTACTGAAATAGTTTGACAAGGAATTAGAATTGGCTTTAGGATAATCCTTTATTAGCATGATACTTCGCGATCGACCTTGGCTTGTCTTTATATTTTGCTTCCAGCCCTCATCAACTTGAACTTCATCTGTGAATCTGAATGTCCAAGTGTGCGAGGGTGTCCTACAGTAGTCTTAAAAGCAATACGTTTTTAAAATGTAGATGAGCTTGTTTCCTTATTTGAACAGATTTGGAGAACTGTAGCATTACATCACTTGCACAAGTAATCCACATGACTCCAGTCCATCAATTAATGTATGGTGACGCGAAAAGCTGCTTGTTTGGAAGAAACTAATTCATCATTAAAGCATATTAACTTTAAACCGTTTGTAAACGGTGGTTGATGTGTGCATATTTCTCTCCTGATTCAGATGAGACGACTTTTTCACTGGTGAAAGCAATATTATGGATAGAGAAATTAAAAACGCCCTAATGATGGATGTTTCTTATAAACACAGATTTTCACTTTACAGAATGCTAACTGATGGATTGGAGTCATGTGGATTACTTGTGAATTATTGTTATTGTGATGACTCTCATTCTGACGGCACCCATTCACTGCAGAGGATCCATTGCTGAGCAAGTGATTTCTGCAAAATTTCTACAAATCTTTTCTGATGAACAAACAAACTCATCTACATCTTGGATGGCTTGAAGGTGAGCAAATTGTACACAAATTAAAATTGTTGGGTGAACTATTCCTTTAATGTTGTTCTGAAGTGTTTTGCTGGCTGCAAAAGGGTGAACATCTGTCAGCGTCATACATAAAATCGATCACAATGTTTACACGCTGCTTCCGCTTTATGAATTAATCGCTTTATGAATATTATGTGTCCCCGGGGAGCATAGCACAGATAAACAATTTAAAACACTTCAGCTCAATATTTCAGCACTTTTTAAAATAGTAAAATAGGACTATTTGTCTTCGGCAGGGGATCTAGTGATGGAGCAGCACTGTAAGTGTGAGTACGATGTAAAATAAGAGACGTACTCTGGGTAGGCCCTACTTTCTTGCAAGGTTCTTTTTTGCAGTAATGTTAATAGAATGTTTGTTCAAAGTTGTCTGGTCTTTAATAATGTTCTCAAACGTTAGCAAAAACATTATACATAACATTCCCATAATATTTGCAAAATGATAAAAATGCAGTAAATGTTTATAAAATGAGAAGATTCAAAAATAATATTTTTAACCTAATGGGAACATTAGCAAAACGTTTTTATAACATGTTTTGTGAACTGAGATTTTATATCATCACCTTTACAGAAACCATTTTGTTTATGAGATGTCCTTTGTGTGTGTGTGTGTGTGTGTGTGTGTGTGTGATTTTGTCTGCTTTAACTGCAGTCTTGACTGATTTGTCCCATGATTAAGGTGACTTGATTGCTCTGAGTTTGGGTGTGGCTAATGGGACTTAATGATGGCCGTATGCAACTGGAGCTTTATTCATAATTAAAGGCAATACAGGCTTAATCAGCAGCCACCAGCTCCCTGTGCTCACTGGAGCCCATCTCTGTTGCTATGCAACTCCAGGAGCCATAAGCAAGCAATCTGAGCTTAATACATTTTATTAGTCTTTGTGTTGAGTCTTTATGAGTAAACCACTACAAGTGTATTCTATACCTTTAATAATTCATTTTGAGTGACTTTTCTTGCTTGAAAGACAAGCCAAAAATGTCATAGTACAGGACGAAATGCTAAATGCATAGAGAGAGTGTTTCATTTTAGATTAAGTAAAATGAAAGTGAGCGAAATTCATTTAAAGAGAATTTAACATTACATCACTTGCTCCCGGATGGATCCTCTGCAGTGAATGGGTGCCGTCAGAATGAGAGTCCAAACAGCTGATAAAAACGTCACAATAATCCACACGACTCCAGTCCATCAATTAATGTCTTGTGAAGTGAAAATCTGTGTAAGAAACAAACTTAGACTGCTGATTTCAGCAAAAATATGAGTCCTCTATC